ATATGCCATGCTGATAGGCTCCAACCCCAAAAGACTGAATACTGTCATAAAATCAAAAACTGCTTCAACAAAATTTTACTTTAAGGGTGTGCACACTTATGCAACCATGTTATTGTACATTTTTGTTATTACTTTTCCCCTTTAAAAGATTTCAGTTTTCTAACTGAATTGTACAGCTTATATGTTATAAGCAGAAACAAATTCTGAAGTGATTTACCTTGCTCTATTTTTTATTTCTTTTACAACTTCAAAACCTGGCATTCTAACAGTGGTGTGCACACTTTTTTATCCTCTGTATAAAGAGTGAATATAAATCAATGAAGTATAAAGTAATAATTAAAACAGTTTTTAAGATTTTATAAATATTTGAAAAATTGCCTTTGGGGAAAATGGTATCATTTGGTTGTCATTTATGGCTTCTATAGTGATTCAATGGTCAGCAATTAAGTGATCAGACTTTAATAGTTACTTTTTGGATCTCTGGGGTATATAGTGCCGTGATGGTGAACCAATGGCCCATGTGCCAGAGGTGGCATGCAGAGCCCTCAGCTGACACGTGTGCCGTCACCTTAGGTCAGATCTCTGTGGAGTTTCTTTCATGAGCTTCTGTTTCCCTGCCAATGACGAAACAGAAGCTGATGAAAGAAAAAGATCTCACCTCTTGCTGCGCTGCCGGTGTTGGGGTGTCCTGCCCCCCACCGGCCAGCTGGTCTTTGCATCTTTGCTGTGCATGTGCAGATATCCACACGTGTGCATGTCTGCACATGCATGCATGTCGGCCCATGTGTGCATGTCAGCCCATGCACACGCGCACGTCACCATGTGTGCATGTTTGTGCGTACGAACCTTTCCGTTTGGGTAGGTGCATGTGCACAGTTTGGGCACCCAGTGTCTAAAAGGATTGTCATCACTGATATAATAAATCATAGACAACTTGCTTTGCATAGGAAAGGACACTAGTTCCAGTGTTTCTACTTAGAGTTGACAGACTCCTATCCGAACCTCTGGAGACTCACTACTAGTCAGGTAGAATCCATAGCTAGATAAGATTAATAGTTTGGCTAAGGATAAGATAATTTATTTACCTTAGTTTAAAGCTGGGAATATAAATGTTTATGATTCTTCCAAGCAATTGAAAAACAAGGGCTTTTGATGATGATTTTACCCACCACCACCAGTCTTGTATTTGGTTGAAATTTACTTACTTTTTTTTTTCAACAGAGTATACCATTTTTTATTATCTTTCCTNACACACACACACACACACACACACATTCATTCTAAGCTCTGCCTGGTAACAAGAAAAGTCATTTGCAGAATGCTTACCACCACATAGACAGCCTTCTCAGATGCCGCTCCAATGGGTATCCAACCATTTGTGGCTCTCCTCCGGTTGATGCGTTGCTGCTTTGGATGCAGGTGACTTCCGACTGTTTTGCTGTCAGATACGTGCAAGCAGCTAGTGGTATTCCGGAGGCCAGATTTAGAGCCGCTGGGTGGTTTGGAGCTCTGTGGGCATTCACGGGCCATAGTCTGGGGCTCTGAGTTTGGCGTTTGTAAGTGAGGAACAGGTTCTGCAGCTGGTGGCACACTGGGTACCGGACATCCTGAGAGAGGATGGGCAGGTGAAACGGGATGTCCTGCCACTGGGATTGTGAGGCTCAGCTGGTCCAGGGACTTGCAGCTATCTACAAGATAAGCAAGAGGTGAACAACTAATACAAGTTTTGCTTTTCAGACCAAGATTCAACCTTTCACAATTTCTGGAATAATTCCCAAGAGGAACGTTGAAAAGCACCATTTAACCACAACTATATTATAACCAGAATGCAAGTCTCAGAATTACCAGAACAGACATCAAAGTAATCTACTGGCCATATGAATATGTGGTATTTTTGTCAGTCGGCCTCCATCATAATTAACTTAGCACTCTTAGTATACAAAATGTATGACATCTATCTCTATACAAAATTATAAAATCTTATTTTCGGTCTTTAGAATCAAGACATCACTTTCCTTGAATATCTCCTCCACAAAATAAAAATCTGCAGTTCTAGTGCTACACCTGATGAATAGGAGAAAGAAAAAAAATGCAGAAGCAGTTTCATTTAAACTTCCTATGTATTATACTTATCAAAAGTATCTGGTGCTCACCTCCCTAATACTTATACAAGTTTCTACCCATGTTTCATGAGTCTCAGAGGGAGTTATTAGCCCATATTTCAGTATCTGAGGAAAAAATGCTTTCCATTTCCATATCTTCCCTCTCCACAAAAAGTTTGGAACTTGGAGCAAATAAGTTTGTTTGAAAATATCTTCTTCAGATTTTCAATCATTCATAAAATCCATGTTTTTGAAATACAAATCACTAGGGATGTGTAGAATGTTCTATACTCAAATCATTTTGAAATATTCGCTCTTAAATTCCAAGCATCAAAACAAGGTTTTTCAAAACACCTCCAAAAGGATTAAAATACCTTGTTTCAAAAGCAAAATAAATGATTTTTAACTTGAAAGAACTGTTTTGAATTCAAAATGGAATGTTTCAAATGGAAATATTTTACACACCACTATAAATCATGCCATCAATTCCTGCCATACTAGCAAAATGGATGGACCACATTTCTGCTTAATCAACAGTGGGATAAGTCTTTTAATTTTTCTCCTGACAATATGCATGAATGCAAGAATAATTATCAAATATTTTCAGTATCTCAAGAAAAAATAGAGCAGGGGAATGATGGAACTGGGAATCAAAATAGTTCAATACGGCTGTGCAGAGATCTGGATTTAAATGGGTAAAAGGTGACTTAGATGCCCATGAGGACACATGCCTACATATTGTGCGTGCTTACAATTACAACACTTCTTTTTCCTGGGCTCATGCAAATCAGGAAGAGACATATTATCTTAAGGAAATGCCAACAAGTGAGACATGCATCTCCATGTGTGCTCTCAAGTCACCTCTTTCTTTCAAATATAGATCACTGCACAGCTCTTTGTGGAAGTAGCTCCTGATGCAGTGCTAATATAAAGGATATCTTCATATAAATAGTTAAAGTAAAACATGCTTGACATTGGTCATGATTTTCAAGAACACAGAATGTGGCCTGAAGTCTGCAAACTTTATAAAATATGTTTAGAATAAGAGTCATCATCTTAATGTAAAGATTCTGAATGGCAAGAATCAGTACAGATGTGGCTTACGCCTGACCAATTCCACAAGAAGCATCCTTCACCCTGAAGAGTGAAACATTTTTACATGAACAGAGATATTACTACCCATAAAAATCAATAATGCCTCGTGTAACCTCTAGAAAGCAAGAAAGTTCATTGACATGCAAGCTGTGATAAAACCAAGTCTCTGCTGAAATCCTTGAAATCCTGACAACTATTTTAAAAAAAGAATATTGCCATTGATTTTGATCTAAAGAACATAGCATGACTGAGATGTTTTATTGAGAGAAAAAGCCATGAAGCTATCACTCTGTTCATAGGAGGAGCAGCATTAACAAATAATGACAATAACAATAACAACAACAACAACAACAACAACAACAATAATAATAATAATAATACCACAGTTTCACAATTAAGAACAGTTAATAAATATGACAAAACATTTAATGATCCAAATGTTAGAGATGCAAAGACTATTCTGGAACTCTGAAAACCCTGGACTGAGCAGGTTCTCCCTTGTTATATTAAAAATTGTAATTCTCAAAGAATACATACCGTATTTTTCAGAGTATAAGATGCATCAGAGTATAAGACGCACCAAGATTTTGAAGAGACAAATTAAAAAAAGAAGGTTTTGCACTCTGCAAACCTCCCAAAAGCGCCCCGTTTTTTGCAAAAACGTGGACTGTTTTTTCCCAAAAAAGGGCATGAATAGCCTTTAGGAGGCTTGTAGAGTGCTTCGGGTGGGGGGCAAAAACGAGTAAAAAACGGCCCATTTTTTTGGTCAAAATCAACGTG